CCCACAGGGTCTCCAAGGCTGTCAATCTTCACAGAAGCAAAGCCCAAACCACACCCACTGCATGGAGTCCATTCCGACCCACAGCGACCCTATTGGGCAGAGGGTTTCCAAGGCTGTAATCTTTACGGAAGTAGACTGCCTCATCTTTCTCCCTTGGAGCACCGGGTGGGTTCACGCGGCCACCCTTTTGGTTAGCAGCCACCAGTGCTCCGCCAGAGCGCCCGCTCATCCCTGGTGGCCACTGGTAAACGCCGGTCCCTCTGCGTTTGCCTGTTCTAGATATTTCATGTAAGTGGGGTCAGGTGCATTTTCTTCTTGTCAGTAAGTCTCAATAGAATTCTTTATTGAAATAGCTTGCCATTTGGGGTGATGTGGGGGAGCTCTGGTGGTGTAGTGGCTAAGGCATTGACTGCTAACCAGAAGACTAGTGGTTCAAACCCACCATCCACTCCTCGGAAGGAAGATTGGGCAATCTACTTCCGTGGAGATACTGTCTCAGTAACCCAAGGAGGGGTCGCTATGAGTCGGATCTGACTCGACGGCGGTGAGGGTTTTTTTTTTTTTGGGGTGGTGATTAAACACAAAAATCCCATTGCCATGGAGTCTGTTTCAACCCACAGTGCCTCCCATGTGTTGCAGAGTGGAACTGTGTCCCGTAGGGTTTTCTTGGCTGTAATCGTTATGGAAGCGGATTGCCAGGCCTTTCATCAGCAACGCCTCTGGGTGCTTCAGACTGCCAGCCTTCAGTAGCTGAGCATAAGCCATTGGCACGGCTCAGGGACCTCGTGTGGGGGAGGGGTGCTTTTCAGAAGAGGAGAGCCCCGCTAGGGCTGGTGGTGGGCTCAGCTGCCTCCCAGGAGAGGAGCGCCTTGGCTGGCAGTCATGGGGTCAAGGCCAGAGCCCACCAAGCCTGATGGAAGACGCTTAGTGGGAAAAGCCTCTTGGAACCCATGGTGGGCTTCTTTCCAGATCTCTTGTTTACCTGCTTTGCAGATCTCAGAAGGGTGCTTCTTTTCTTTTTATTGTGATTTGGGTGAAAGTTTACAGAGCAAATTTACTTTCCATACAGCAGTTCACATACACGTTGTATTACGACGTTGACTACAATTTACCCCAATGCAACAGCTCTCCTCCCACTTCCTCCCGATAGTTACCTCTTCCCTGTGTTCATCCCTCCATGCGCTCCTGCCCCCTGAGCTGTCTCCCTGTACATACACAGCCCTTCTTTCTCCCATGATTGTTCTCTCCAAGGGATGTATGTACCTCAGGTACATGTTCAGCCCATATGCCTGTCTTTTGTTTGGCTGGAAGCCACAGGAGTGGGTTCAATTCCAGACCTGAGGGGCAGCTCAGGCCATAGTCTCGGTGGTTCCACAGGCTCCATCGGGCCAGCAAACCTGGTCTCCAGAAGGGTGCTTCTAGAGGAGTTTGGTGGGCTCTGCTGTGCGGTTAGGACTCTGGCATACCCTGTCCTGTGGGCTCTGGTGGGGCCTTCTGGGTCCTCTTCCTCCCAGGCTGCGGACCACCCTCGGGAACTTGGTGTCTCCTGATTCCAGGACCTGCCCAGTGAAGATGACGCGGGCACCTCGGCGGCCATGGTGGCGGGCGGCATCCACCTCCTGGACTTCTCCGACGAGATCCTGCTGCACATCCTTGGCCACGTGCCCAGCACGGACCTGGTGCTGAGCGTCCGGCGCACCTGCCGGAAGCTGGCGGCCCTCTGCCTGGACAAGAGCCTCATCCACACTGTGTTGCTGCAGAAGGACTATCAGGTGAGGCGGGAGCAGGGGCCAAGGGCGGGCACAGGAGACTGGCAGCACCTGAACACCACTCTTGGGCCTGCCAGCCAGCCCTGCAGCTAGAGTCTGCACTGGAACCGTCCCCAAGACAGGCAGGGGGCAGAAAAACATGTAGTAGGTCCCTGGGAAGCGGGCACACATAGGTGGGTGGTATTCTAGGAGGGAGACAGGCTGAGTTTCCATAGGTTCCTCCGAGTGGCATAGCTGGGCTTCGGCTGGGCATTGGAGTTCTTACAGAGTTAGACGTGCAGTTCTCAGTGGCACAGTGGGGTGCACCAGGGTACACCCCACCTGCAGTGCAGGAGCCTTCGGTTGCTCTCCGTCCTTGTCAACACTTGCTTCTGTCAGTCTGTTGAGTCAGCCGTTTCCCAAAACACCAAACCCAGCCTGTTGCCGTCCAGTGAATCCCGACTCTCAGCAGCCCTATGGGGCAGAGTGAAGTGGCCCCAGAGGGCTTCCTACGCTGTAAATCTTGACAGAAGCAAGCAGACTGCCACATCTTGCTTCTGGGAGTGGTTGGTGAGTTCCAACTGCCGACCTTTCGGGTAGCAGCTGAGCTCGTAAGCACTGTGCCACCAGGGCTCCTTTTAGCCATTCCCTGGGTGGGTGATGGGGTCTCCTTGTGGTGTTCACCTGCGTTTCCCTGATAAGGTGTGGTCACTCACCTTTTCATAATGAGGACAGGCCCATTGTCTGTTATCTTTTCAGAAGTTCAAGTCTTTTGCCCATTATTATTGAGTTACTTGTGTTTTTCTTACTGAGTTGTAAAGTTTTTTATAAATGCTGGATGTAAGTCCTTTGTCAAGGACCTGTATTGTGGGTCTTTTTCTCCCAGTCTTCCTGTTTGGTATTCTGAAGTGTTGAAGAGCAAACGTTTTTAGTTCCAGTAAAGTCTAGTTTGTTGAATTTTTCCTCGAGTCCATGTTTTTTGTGTTGTAGTTAAAGTCTTTGTTAAACCCGAGGTCATGAAGGATTTCTCTTAGGTTGTCTTGCAGGACTTTTATAAACTTACCTCTTTTTTTCCAAATAATACTTTATTGTGTTTTAGGCGAAAGTTTACACAGCAAATTAGGTTCCCCTTTAACAATTTGTACACAGATTGTTCTGTGCCATTGGTCACAGTCTTGACACTCTGTCAGCATTCATTGTTTCTAGTCTGTTTGTTCCTGTGAGCTCCTCTCTTAAGGCAATCTAGATCCATTTTGTGTTAGGCTGTTGTATGGTGTGAGGTAGGGGTTGAGCCTCCCTGTGTGTGTACAGTCATTGGATTGCTCCAACACCCTGTTTGTTTATTGAAGGGATTTTCTTTCCCTCCTTGAATTGCCTTGAACTGTTCTTGAAAAGCAGTTGACGATGTATCTTTAAGAGAAAGATCAACAGAATTCTCTGGGCCCTTGACGTGACTCCATATCTTAGGAGATCTGGAAGGGCTCCTCACTGTTCTCAATGTTGTTGGCTGCTGTTGGCTTCACCCCTACTCCTGGTGACCCCATGCATAGTGGAACAAAATGCTGCCCGGGCTTGTGCCATGCCCTTGGTTGGCTGGGCATTGACTGTTTTGATCTGTGCTGTACCTATGATTGGTTGGGGATTGCATTGTTTTGACCTGTGCCGTGCCCATGATTGGTTGGAACTTGGACTGTTTCGACCTGTGCTGTGCGGTGATTGGTTGGGGATTGACTGTTTTGACCTGAGCTGTGTGGTGATTGGTTTGGGGTTGGGCTGTTTTGACCTAAGCCATGCCCGTGATTGGCTGAGGATTGACTGTTTTTACCTGTGCCATGCCCATGATTGGTTGGGGATTGGACTGTTTTGACCTGAGCCATGCCCGTGATTGGTTGGGGGTTGGACTGTTTTGACCTGTGCCGTGCTGTGATTGGTTGGGGCTCGACTGTTTTGATCCATAGGGTTTTCATTGACTGATTTTGGAAGTAGATCACCAGGCCTTTCTTCCTCGTGTGTCTCATTCTGGAGCCTCTGGGAAGCCTGGCCTGGGTGGTATCCATGCCTGAGAACTGAACCCGGGTTTCCTGCCTGGAAGGTGAGCGTTCAACCTGGTGGCACCTGGGACGAGACTCCTGGGCGCTCTCTGCTGGAGCCAGTTGTCTTCGACTCTGCCGGGGAGGGAGGTCAGCCTCATGCCCCCAGAGTAACGGGCCGGACATGCTATCTGTGAAGGTCGTTCTGGTAGCAGAGGTTTTGATGCTCCCAGCACAGTGCTGCCTCACGTGTGTCTGGAAATTGAAGACCTGCTCGTGCTGGTGGCACAACAGGTAGGGCATCTGGCTGCTAACCAGAAGGGCAGCGGTTCAAACCCACCAGCCGCTCCACAGGAGGAAGATGAGGCAACCTACTTCTGTAAAGATTTATATCCTTGGAAACCCAGTAGGAGTCACTGTGAGTTGCAATCAGCTCAATGGCTGTGGGTTTGGTTTTTCAGTTTTTGTCTTTGGATGGTGTAGGTCCGTTCCCATACATGCATGTCAGAGATGTAACCACTGTCCCCGAGCTAAGGTATAGGTGCTTCTGTGGCCCAGCTTGTGACAAGGATGTGTGTGTGACATCCAGCCACGATGTCCAACTGCAGGACGTCAACTGGACACAACATGGTTACTTAAACCTCTCCAAACCAAACCAGACTCAGTGCCGTCAAGTGGGACCTGACTCAGAGTGACCCCTCCTGGGGTTTCCGAGGCAGCATTTCTACAGAAGTAGATTGCCCAGTCTTTCTTCTGAGGAGCGGCTGGTGGGTTTGAACCGCCAGCCTTCTGGTTGGCAGTCAAGTGCCTTCTTGGCGTGTTTTTTTTAGTTTTGTGTATTTTGTTGGTGTTGAGAACGTATACAGTAAGCATGCACCGCTTTGAGAGTTCCTGCATGTACGATCCAGTGACACGGGACAGGTGTCGGATCGTGCACTGTTCTCACCCGCCTTTTCTGATTTGTCCCTCCCTGTTTCCAAACTCACTGCCTCCTAAGCCTCCTGTCTGGCCTTCCGAGTTGCTGTTGTCACTTTGACTCCATAGAGACAGTTCCTACAAGAGCATGTGCTTAAGGCGGACATCCCTGACCGGTTAAGCTGGGCTGTTGTTTGCTTTTAAGAAGACCTTGGGGAGTATTTGGGAGCTCTGCTGGTGTGCCTAAGGCACTTGACTGCTAACCAGAAGGCCAGTGGTTCAAACCCACCAGCCACTCCTCGGAAGGAAGACGGGGAAATCTGCTTCCGTAGTGACACCGCCTTGGAAGCCCAAGGAGGGGTTGCTGAGTCGAGTCCGACTCCACAGCAGTGAGTTGGGTTTTTGTTTTGGGGCATATTTTAGGTTAAAGTCTGAGGTGCTTTAGAGGAATGTTTGATGGTGGGAAAATGTGCACAATGAGAGGGGAAGCAGCACCCCAGCTCGCGGTGGGGCCGGCCTGACGCCGTCTGTTCTGTGGGGTCAGGAGCTCGAGGAGCCCGCCTCTCTGCTCTCAGGGTGGGGGTTTGTAGCCAGACTCCTCTGCACTGGCTGCTCGGGGCTGTTGGCCCTGGGTAAGTTTGTGGGTGTTACCTCAGCGTCCTGGGGCTGCTGGCACCAAGTACCACAGACTGGGCCCATGAGAACAGAAGGTCACCGTCTCACAGCTCTGGAGTCAGGAGCCTGAGATCAGGCTGTCGGCCATCTTGATAACCTCTGCCTCACACTGGGGGCCTGGGAGGACAGAGGTCAGTGTCTCACAGCTCTGGAGTCGGGAGCCCGTGCTCAGGGTGTCAGCCATGCCCTCTGACAGAGAATCTGTCCCTGCCTCCCTCCCCGCATCTAGAGGCCCCAGGCGTCCTGTGGCTCGCAGACCACCTTCAGGTGGTGGGCGTCCCTGTGTGTGTCTCTTCTCTTTTATCATGATACCACTCGTCTCAGATCTGGGCCCATCTTGCTCCAGACCTCACGTTCACTGATAGCTTCTCTAAAGGCCCAATTTCCAAGCAAGGTCACGTGCACAGGTACCAGGGTGAGGACTTCCTTCAGTGTTTCTTTTGGTGGCTAGGGTTCAGCCCATAACAGGAGGCAGGGGACACCAGTGTTCCCCAGAGTCCCAGTCCCGCTGAGTTCCTCGTGACCCCAGAGGGTTCTCGCAGACCCCGGGTGTCTTCAGCCCTCCCCTCCCCTGTCTCCCTCAGGCCAGCGAGGACAAGGTGCGGCAGCTGGTGAAGGCGATCGGCCGTGAAATCCAGCAGCTGAACATGGCCGGCTGCTACTGGCTGTCTGGTGCCACCGTCGAGCACGTGGCCCGCTGCCGCAACCTGGTGAAGGTGAACCTCTCGGGCTGCCACCTGACCTCCCTGCGCCTCTCCAAGGTGCTGTCGGCGCTGCAGCACCTGCGCTCCCTGGCCATCGACGTGAGCCCCGGCTTCGACGCGGGCCAGCTGAGCAGCGAGTGCAAGGCCACGCTGAGCCGCGTGCGCGAGCTGCGCCAGACGCTCTTCACGCCCTCCTACGGCGTGGTGCCCTGCTGCACCAGCCTCGAGAAGCTGCTGCTCTACTTTGAGATCCTGGACCGCACGCGCGAGGGCGCCATCCTCTCGGGCCAGCTCATGGTGGGCCAGAGCACCGTGCCCCGCTACCAGAACCTGCGCGTCTTCTACGCCCGCCTGGCGCCCGGCTACATCAACCAGGAGGTAGTGCGCCTTTACCTGGCTGTCCTCAGCGACCGCACGCCCGAGAACCTGCACGCCTTCCTCATCTCCGTGCCTGGCAGCTTCGCCGAGAGCGGGGCCACCAAGAACCTGCTGGACTCCATGGCCCGCAACGCCTGCCTGGACGCGCTGCAGCTGCCCCGGTCCTGGCTGAACGGCTCGGCGCTCCTGCAGCACATGCGTTTCAGCAGCCCCTTCTACTTCAGCTTCAGCCGCTGCGCCCTGTCGGGCGGCCACCTGATCCAGCGGGTCATCAACGGCGGCCGCGACCTGCGCAGCCTGGCCAGCCTCAACCTCAGCGGCTGTGCGCACTGCCTCTCACCAGACGCCCTCTTCCGCAAGGCGGAGGACGAGATCGACAGCAGCATCCTGGAGAC